TCTGACCAGTTTGTTTTGTGATGTTTGTAATTTTGTTTTTAGCGCCTTTGAGGTGCTTTGGTACCATGAGGTGCAAGCATAGTCGTAGTACCCTTGAATGAGTGCTCCTGCCAGAGTCTTCAGGGTATTCTTGTTTACCAGAGCGGAGATCCGGTACAAGAATCTAGTTCGTTGGTTGACTTTTTTGATTACATTGGATGCCATTTTGTCACAGGAGAGATTTGCCTCTAGTATGGAACCTAGGTATGTAATTTCATCTTTCCTTGTGACAATATTGTCACCCACTGCAACTGAGAAGCCGTCGGTCTTGCTGAGTTTGTTTTTTGAACCGAAGACAATGGACTCTGTTTTACCCAGGTGTAATGATAGTTTGTTATCGGCGAGCCAGGTGCAGATTCTGCCGAGTTCCGAGCTGAGGGTTTTTTCAACCTGCAACCTGTTCCTGCCAGAGACCAGCAGGGCTGAGTCGTCCGCGAACAGGAACAAGTTGCAGTCACATGCTGATGACATGTCATTTGCATAAATTAGGAACAGTAACGGTCCTAGTATGCTTCCTTGTGGAACACCACAGCTCACTGGGAGGGGGGGGATAGAGTACCGTTTACCTCCACCATCTGTTCTCTCCCCTCCAGGTACGATTACATCCAGCTCACCGATAGACTATCAAAACCAATTGCTTTTAGCTTGTCAATCAGAATGGAGTGATTGACAGTGTCGAAGGCCTTTTGTAGGTCCAGCATGACCATGCCGCAGTATTTGCCCGCGTCCACCTCTTTTTTGATGTGGTCGTTCAAATAGAGAAGGCATGTGTCAGTGGAGTGGGATGTTCTGAAGCCAGATTGGAATTCGTAAATTAGATTTTTTTCCGCGAGGTACTTTTCGACCTGTTCGTATACTATTTTTTCCATGACTTTCGAGATGGAGGTAAGAATAGAAACAGGGCGGTAGTTGCCTGGGTCCAATTTGCTGCCCTTTTTGTGCAGGGGGGTTACTCTCGCAATTTTGAAGTCTTTGGGTACGTGTCCCTGTTTTATGGAGAGGTTTATTATGTGTGTGATGACTGGGGTGATGGCGGCTGCTGAGTCTCTGAGGAATTTGGAGGGGATATTGTCATGGCCAGTGGCCTTGTTAGGTTGGAGGGCGCTCAGTTTTTTGTGTACCTCAGCTGTTGTTACCATTACTAGTTTGAAATCATCTTTGCGTACCCCTAGGTTATTGTAGTAGGCTAGGATGTGTTCTACCCTAAAAAGCCCTGAGTGGGAGGGTAGTTTATTTACCAGAGTTGTGGCTATGTTTGTGAAGAAAATGTTTAAGTAATTGGCCACATCCAGCTTGTCTGTGATGAGCCTGTTATCTGTCTTTATGTTTATGTTTGAAAATCTGGTTTTAAGTTTTTTACTGCAGCCAAGCTGGTTATTGAGTAATTTCCAAAGTTCACGGGTCTTTTTTTGTTTTCCTCAGTTTTGTTATTGATGAAATTCTTTTTTGCAGTTTTGATCATGGAGTTTACGTCATTTCTTAGTCTGTTTCTTTGCAGTTTTAGTTCAGTCACGTGGGCCTGGAGTTCACTGCTCGAGCTTTTGGAAAGCTTTACTGACTTTTACGAAACTCAGAATATTTTTTGTCTCTGGTTTTCATAGCGGTCAATATTTTGGAGTGCATCCACGGCTCAGCGCGATTTTTTACCCTGGTGGTTCTTAGGGGGGCCATGTCGTTTAGTACTGTTGAGAATTTGGTTTTGAAACCAAGCCATGTTTCTTCAACCAGTGTACCACTGAGCTCATCTGACCAGTTCAGGCTCTCCAGTTCTAGGTTCAAGGCCTCGCTAGAGTAGGTTTTGAGGTCTCTAGATTTGACTGTTTTGTGACAGCCGGCCTTTTGTTATAGCTTTTTGCGGGTACAGAATATCATATAATGATCACTTAAACCGCATGCTATAACCCCTTTACTGGAGATCCCGGACCTGTCAGAGGTCAGAATGAGATCAATGGTAGTCTGTGTTGATTCACATACCCGGGTGGGTTGGGTGATTAGCTGGCTGAAGCCGTGCAGATCACAAAACCTACTGAAGGACTTGAAGACGGGTGCATCTTTTCGTTGCATATCCGTGTTCCAGTCTCCAATAAGAATTGTTTCTACACCCCCAACTCCAGCCAAACATCCATCCAGTGTATCATAAAAGCCACTTGGTTCTGGCGGTCTGTAGATTGTGCCGACTAATACTGATTTAGCCCGTTCAAAAGGGTTAGGGCGTCGAGACGTTCGTGTCCCGCGTCGAGCCGGTCGTCGAGCTGTTCATCATGGTGGCTGCGAACCTCGGTTCACTTGCTCTCATCTCGGCCTCACGCGTGTCAGTCTGCAGAGGCGTCTCCGGGGGAAAGTCGCCGTCCGCGCTGCGGATGTAGCCGTGGGGCGCCTCCTGTGCAACCAGACCAAGTCTTCTAGCTTGAGTTCGCGTCAAAACCGGGCCTGGATTTAATTGAATGTCTCCCGAAAGTAGCAGGACCAGGATGATCATGGTCCTTCGGTCCAATCTGCCAGACGGGGGTAAGTTCTTACGTACCGAGTTTGCCGTTAGTAATGCATGTATAGACGCAGTTCCAGCAGCTAAGTGTTTCTTTTCCGAGCCATTGAGAAGGTAGAAGTCACTATGGGTCTCTTTTTCTCTGCTTTCACTTCTCTCCACTTCTGATTGGTGTTGCTTCATTAATGAATTGAGGTATGAGTCCGTAATCCATATTAGCAGGAGGAGGAAATGTGCACAAAACCGTGTTGTTTTGATTCTATGGTGAGAGCTCTGAGAAATGCGACTGTTTCTGGCGTCTGAATGAGACGCCATGTTGCCGACAAGATATTGATTCTGAGCCCGATCTCTGTAGATAAATACAAATAAAGAACCAGGGTCATTGGGGGGTCATTCACGGGCCATGCCCTCCCAAATTAGTCACTGTGTCCCCCCCAACGCAGGGTGGGCAAGCCTTGCCACTTCGCCGTTTTTTTTTTTTTTAATCATATAAGTGAAAACGTTTCCACTAAAGGTTTTTTGTGTGAAATACGTCAGAAATAAAGAATACAAATAAAAAACACAGCCTGAGGTGTGCTCACTGCTGCTCTCTGTTTGGTGTGTTGCTTGACCAATGACCCCCGACTTTTGTTTTGTTATCATTACGTGGCTGTGTGTTTAGATGAAAGCCCAGTGGCGATCTGTTCATCTGCTATACTTCTGGGTCTCTGTGTTTCATTCAAGCTCGGCTCTGTAGGCTATGTGTGTGGCACGAGCGCATTTTGTGAGTGCGCGAGCGGTAACGTGGAATGTTGTTGTTAGCATCTGGTTAGCTAGCTATGCTAACGGATATAAAGAGCTGTTTCTACACCAAGGTGGAGGAGAGTCTTCTCCTGTCAGACTGAGAGGATCGTATAACCTCAGCTCAGTGAGGTAAGGACTCTCTCAGTGCTTAGATAGTTCCCTTTAGTGTAAGTTATCTTAGTGGGTCTCAAACGGTTTGGTCACCATTTATGTAAACAAGTATTTGCGAGGAACACATTTATATGATCATTAGCCTATAGTTATTAAAAAATAAGAGAATAAATGAAAAACGGGTATGAAATACTATAGGACAGTAACACAAGAATACAGTTTAAAAGGGGAATGATTAGTAAAATATCCATAAAGAAAAAGTACATCTGTGTACTGTTCTGTTTCATATGGATGCTGAGAGATGTAGGCTATCCATAGATCTCTTCATTTAGCTCTCAAAGTGCACCAGATTGATGCATTTAACTTCAATATTTAAAAAATAATCTTCCCGGGGGAGCAGGACCGGCCCTTGGCATAGGCAGTATAGGCGAATGCTAAGGGCGCATTAATCAGTGGGGGGCGCTGAGAGCTCTCTCCTGAAAGACTGAGCGGCTCTGATAACCTCAGCTCAGTGAGGTAAAGGCACAGCTTTATATGATCATTATAGTTATAAAAAAATAAGAGAATAGATTTTCATCTATTCTCTTATAGTATAAAATACTATATAACAGTACAAAAAATGTGTTCTAAACAAGAATAGAGTTTGAAAGGGGAGTGATTTGTAAAATATCCATAAATAAAAAGAAAATCTGCTTACAGTTCTGTTTCATATGGGTGTTGAGAGAGGTATCCATAGATCTTCCCAGGGGAGCATGCCCCCGGACCCCCCAAGAGGAGGTTAGGTCCACCCCCCACTTAAATCATGTTCAAATGGATAGGATACTAAATACATTCCCACACATCTTGTGTCCATATGTTTCTGTTTTGGTGGTCATGCCACAACCGTGCACGTGCATGCATGCGCAAGTCATAGTGAGTTGGCCAGCTAAAATCTTGCCTAGGGCAGCAAATTGATCAGGGCCGGCCCTGCGGGGGAGCATGCCCCCAGACCCTCCTAGAGGAGGTTAGGTCCACCCCCACCTAAAACATGTTCACATGGATAGGATACTAAATACATTTGCACACTTTTTATATGGTGGCCTATGTCCATATGTTTCTGTTTTGGTGGTTGTGCCACAACCGTGCATGTATCCACAAGTCATAGGTGCGCTATAAAATAGCACATACACCCTGCAATGTGTGTGAAAGACAATAGACTTTACAGCATGTTTTTTGAAATTGAAGTTGCGTTGGTGTTTGTGTGTTGGTTGTTGACGGCAGTGTGTGCCCCCCGTGGTAAATGATTGCCCCCCCATTCGATTTGTTCTAGAGCCGACCCTGTAAAGAACTACGACAGATGTGTAATATATTTAATGCAGCCGAACCATTTATTACAATGCATTCATGTGATGACTTTCAAAGAGTAAAGCAAGCACTGCTGAATAAAGTATGATTTTATCTTTTACGAAACGTTTTTTTTTTTTATATGGAATGCAGTTGGAGGTCAACCAATCACAGAGCTTGAGAACTAATCATGGGGTTTGTCAAACAGAGCACATGGTGTAGTCCAAACGATAGCTGGGGATTCTGGGTAATAATAATAATAATAATACGTTTTATTTCGAGGCGCCTTTCAGGACACCCAAGGTCGCCTTACAGTGCATTTAAAAGTTAAAACAGCTAAAACAAAAACGGAACACAATTTAATCGAACCGACAAGGCAATACAGCAGCATAGAAGCATAAAACAGGCAAGACAAGAGTGTGGAGTGACGGAGTGAGAGGAGGATCTGTGATAGCAGGTTGAATGTGTTTTAGAGTGAGTAGGCCAGTTTAAACAGGTGGGTTTTGAGGTGGGATTTGAATGTCGTGATGGAGTCAGACTGTTTGATGTGTGGAGGCAGAGAGTTCCAGAGCCTGGGCGCGGTGTAGCTAAAAGCCCTGGCTCCCATGGTGCTAAGGCGGGAGGTGGGGACAGTCAGGAGTCCGGCTGAGGATGAACGCAGGGAGCGGGTGTATTCCTGGAGGAGGTTTGAGAGATAGGTGGGGGTGAGGTTGTTGAGGGCTTTGTATGTAAGCAGAAGGTTTTTGTAGTCAATCCGGTGCTGAACAGGGAGCCAGTGAAGTTGGATGAGGATGGGGGTGATGTGGTCAGACGATTTGGTACAGGTAATGATCCGGGCAGCCGAGTTTTGAATGATTTGGAGTCTGTTGAGTAGTTTTGTGGGTAGGCCAGAAAGGATAGCATTACAGTGGTCAATCCGGGATGTGACAAATGCATTAACCAGGATTTCGGTGCTGGATTGTGAAAGGGATGGGCGGAGTCTGTAAATGTTGCGGATATGGAAGAAGGCAGTCCGGGTGATGTTTTTTATGTGGGGTGCAAACGAAAGGGTGCTGTCCAGGATGATGCCAGGGCTTTTGACTTGGCTGGTGAAGGATACAGGGAAGCCGTCGATCATGATGCTTGGGGGTGGGGTGGTTAGGATTTTGGAGAGGGTGTTTTTTGAGCCGATGAGCAGGGCCTCAGTTTTACTACCATTTAGCTTCAGGAAGTTCCTGCTCATCCAGCTCCTGTAGTGTAGTGTCTTCTGCCATCCTTTACTCCGAAAAAACATTTGTTTCTCAGAATCTAAGGGGAAAAATACAAAAGCATTGCACACAATTTAAACCAATCAATGTTGTGTAATTAACAAGGATAATCTGGTGTTTTTTAGTCGATGAGTAGTGCAGATATCACTGTAAAATCAATCGACAGTAAGGGGAATACTTACTTCCGGGTGTACAATTCTCCGTTATCCAATGAGAATGGACGCTCACATTGCCTTTAAGGGCAGCCGACACAAACGAATGCCGTGCTTCCATGAGCGTCAAATCCCGCCACAGATGGGAATACATTGCAATCAGTTGAAAGCTATTTGCGTCCCTTTATGAAGCTGAAGGAGCCTTGGAGCGCCACAACTGGACGCCACGGGACCCTGACCAAACGTCGCTCCTGGACGATTATGGAGTGAGAGTGTGTTGTTCCCCGCCGTGGCTCTGAAACACCTGAAAGCTAGCTGAGTATTGATAAATCCTTGGTGCAGAACTTTTCAGTTGTCTTGGATTGCTGCTCCAGTTTAATTCGGTATCTAGATTTAGAACTATTCACTGGTGGAGGGTCAACCAAATCCAGTAGCGAGCAGCTGTCATTTTCACATATGAAATGCATTGCATTGAAGGATTGTTGTGCAATCAAATGTGTTTGTTCCATCAGGTCATATTTGACGCACCGTATGAACTCACATCGCAGTAAATGAAATAATATTGATGGAGGGTAAATATAGCATGGATGTCAAGCTGACAGCTCAGATTAGAAACTGTTTGTACAGTTGGTGTCAGCCAGCGTGCCTAAACACGTCTCCATGACTTTATTGTGAGATTTTACTGAAGCGCTTTCCCTTTCTGTTTTTGATTTCTGCCATCACCTCACCACAACACATGTGTGTTCCCTCAGTTCTCTGGTGTGTGTGTGTGTGTGTTACCTTCTCATCATCGCTGCAGCAGCAGCAGCAGCAGCAGCGGATAAGCACCAGGAGGACCAGCAGCAGAACCATGCCTGGAAACAGAACCACGATCAGACAGTGTTCAGCAGAAAGAAAGGAGCTCGTTTGTTCTAACATCATTTACCCACGTTACCTTTTGGTTACACGTGACATGAGGATTTTGCACAGGCTGATGTTTCCTTTCCTCAGTTGCTCAGGAGATAATCAACTTATTCATACAAATATTTGCAGAGGGCAGTATTCAGTTTGAAGCTTCCTCTCATGTTCTGTGCAGTGGCCAGACAGGGGCAATACTGCAATACAATGATTTTACAATGAGACATTGCTGTTCCGTGTTCAGTTGAATACTTTATTAAGAGTTAACTAACTGTCTGATTGTATTTGCCTCATTGCTGTCCTGAACAGTCCTGATCCTGAACTGGACACATGTCTGTTTCTGTTAGTCACTTTGTGCAAACACGCTTATCTTTGTATCCAAGCGTCATTGTACAGAGCTTTACTGCGATGGTGAGCATCAGACATAATGACGTTAGTTTCAGATCAACTTTGCTTCTTAAATTGCCAACAAAATGGCTCCAGTGAAAATGTCAGACTGCAGTTCATCAGGAGAACTCAGATACACCACGGTGAAAGAATACACCTATTGTATTAGTAATACTTCACTTCCAAAGAGTACCCATGCAGAGATGCTCATTTCAGAATTATATATATCATATGTTTGGATACGAATCATTGATCGCTGCAGCTGGTGAAGGTGGAGCTCATTTTGAATACTTCTTCTCTTCTTTCCTATATAAATGTATTTGATTAGTTTATTATATGTTGCATTCATAATCTTAATCTGTAAAGTAACTACATGTATCAGATAAAGGCAGTGTAGATAAATGACACAAAATTGGGTAGGGGAAAAATCCAAATGTATTTTGTATCAAACATGGTCAAGCCTCTTGTCTTCGCCACCGCTCACCGATGAAGATGAAGAAGACTGTGAAGGAGGCGATGTCCCAGTCCGACTGGAAGACCTTCCCCTGCAGTCTGGAAACCACCTGACCCCACTGATCCTCCAGATCCTGCTGCAGCTCTCTGTGCTCCATCTATATATATACACACACACACACACACACACACACACACACACACACACACACACACACACACACACCACACACACACACACACACACACACACACACACACACCACACACACACACACACACACACACACACACAACCACACACACACACACACACACACACACACACACACACACACACACACACACACACACACCACACACACACACACACACACACAACACACACACACACACACACACACACACACACACACACACTTTTGTACTTTCAAAAACTGTAACTTTGGGTGATACCAACTTTATTTGATTGACTGCTGAAACTCAGACATGTTTCATCATACTGTTACATAACTGAATTCAGGTTACTAATTGTACTTTATTAATGGTATAAGATAGTTTCTGTGAAGACAAGGTTTAAGATTGTACTTGTTTGTTCCAGCTTGTTGTGATAAACTTGAGCTAAATGTGTTTATTCTAAATTCATGTGATTTAGTTACTTCACAGATGTGGATGAATGATGTGAAATCTAATCAAGTGTTAAATCAGACTTTAGTTCCACCTGGAGTAAATCCACCAGCTACCCTGCAGTAAACAAAGTCATTCAAACTAGCTGCACCTTTACCAGCTTTGAGAACACTTTCATGATCAATCATTATAAAACATATCATATATATTATTCTGAAATGGACCAATCTGCACAATCACTGGGGGGCATTAGTTACCATGGCGACCCAGCCCGGAATGAACAGCACATCCTGCTCCGCACACACACACACACACACACACACACGTTACACATCATTAGGAGGCTACAAGTATCTGTCTACAGGTTAGAAGCCTACTTCATTCACTAAAAAGCTTTAAAAGATGACGTTTGATCAAACTGATACCATTTGATAAATAATAAATGAAGAAATCATGTTTTAATTCGAAGCACCAGGTGACTCACCTGTACTCGGAGTTGTGTGTTGTTCTGTCCTTCTTCCGGGTCCAAAGGTGTGTGTGGTCACCTGACGCACGTTCACACCTACATCTCCAACACTCACATTCACACTCAATAATATAATAATAATTCATTTGGATAAATCGTGTATTTGTTAATAATATGTTGTGTTAATTATGAATCTGTATAGTAACTAAGAACCAAATATCAAACACAGGAAATACAGTCAAACGTTTGATATTTACCTCTGTATTGTTGAGTAGCCTACCGGTAACTTGTAAGTAAGTATAGGTAAATATAAAATGGAAATACTCAAGTAAATCACAAGTAACAAAAAAATAATAAGTAGGTGAAAGTATTTAAATACTTACCAATACTGAGTAAACTAGTAGTGGAAGTATTTTTCCAAACGTAATGTAATTCTTCTTTGCGACGATTTGATTGGTTCATGTAGTGAGAGTAGGCGGCTCCCTACCTACCCGGAAATGTTCCCTGACAGACAGCTGTGGTGACCAATCAACATCAATCAACTCAGCCTTCGTCACATTTTGCTGACGTGGAAGCAGGAAGTGCACTTCTTCCGGAGCAGCTGGTGTTGTTTTGCGCTGCGATGGCCGAGGACCCCGCTCTGTCTCTCCGGGTCTCGGAGATCAAGGACCCGGCGGCTCTGTTCGAGCGGTACAACACCGCGGAGATTCGCCGCATCGAGCGCAAGGTCCGCGGGGAGATCGAGCAGAAGAAGGAGGAGCTGCGACAGATGGTGGGGGAGCGGTACCGGGACCTGATCGACGCCGCAGACACCATCGGAGAGATGAGGCAGTGCTCGGAGAGTGTGGTGCTGTCCATCCGGGACATGCACCAGTACTGCCACAGCCTGAAGCAAGGCAGGGCCGGGGGGGGCAGCTGCAGGCAGGAGGTACATCTCACTATGTAACCCTGTCATTTGGAATCTTTATTAAAAGAAAGGGGTGTTTAATTATCTCATGAGTCACATGCATACACCCCCCCCCCCCCCCCCCCACACACACACACCCATATAATAACAACTCTTTTGATTTCGGCATAGATTATATCTCATAAGACAACCTAACCTCTAGAGTTGTACAGCCATAACTCACAGAGGCCACTGCCTGAGTCAGACTCATAAGGTGCTGCTGCTGGGTCACTTGTTTACCAGGTTTACCTGAAGACCCTGCTGACTGCACAGGTTGTTTATTTGTTCCCATGGGTACATGTTTTGCAGAACATGTGTTCTGATAGGTGTGTACTATTGGTGGCAAACGGGGGATCATTGCATTATTTTCTGCTCCTTATGTGTGTGTGTGTGTGTGTGTGTGTGTGTGTGTTAGAACCAGAGGCAGTGGCAGGACAAGTTCTACATCATGGCCTCTCAGATCAAGCTCCTGCTGGAGATCCCAGAGCGCATCTGGAGCTCCATGGAGGCGTGCCGCTTCCTGCAGGCCACGCAGCTCTACCTGCTGGGCTGCCACCTGCACAGCACGCTGCAGCTGGAGGCCGCCACGGGGGGGGCACTACAGCCCCGTCCTGGCCCGCTTCCCCATCCTGGTCCGGCAGGTGGCCACCACCGGGCATGTCAGGTAGGGAGGACCTACTGCTGTGTCTTTTGCAGGACAAAGGGGATCTCATGCAGCAGCATTATCGAACATGTGTCTTATACTTCATTCAGAATGGTATTTAAAACATTACCGTTAACATATATTCTGCTTCCTGCTATTTGAGTATTGTTTGATTAATTGTAGAGCCTTAGTGTACTTAATTAGTGCTGGTTAGAGGGCTCTGGACACGTCTCTTAAAATACAACAACATGAACTCCAGAAATGGATGGCTACTATCCATCCATCTTCTCCCGCTTATCCGTGGTCGGGTCACGGAGGTAGCAGTTCCATGGATGGCTACTAACACTCTAAAAGTAAAAGGACATGTGTTTATTGCTTTCTGCATGAGGCCCACTGGCATCAAGTACAAGTCCTGCTTTGATGTTAGTGATTGTGCCAGAGAATCTCCAGGCCTCAGAGCTGAGGATGATAGTGATGGATCCCTCCAGTGCAGTGACCGTCTGTCCTCCTGCAGGTCCACCATCCTGCTGGACAGCAGGTCTCTGCTGCGGGGCCGGGCCGTGTCGGACCAGGCCATCGCTGAGGCCCTGGTGTCCACCATGCTGCTGGAGGGCAGCTCCCCCCGCCAGGCCCTGGCTGACTTCCTGCTGGCCCGGAAGGCCTCCATCCATCAGCTGCTCAACCAACCACAGCACGGTACCTGCCAGCAGTCCAGTCATGCTTTTTAATTTCAGTGTGCAAAAGCATATTTTGTACATAGGAGTTCTGAAGCAAGAAGTGCAGCATGTTCTGCTGGAAGGCTTTCACTGTGAATGTTTTTTGAACAGAGATGCGTCAGTTGACATAAAGCTGTGTGTGGTGCAGGTGCAGGGATTAAGGCTCAGGTGTGCAGCCTGGTGGAGCTGCTGGTCACCACCCTGTTCCAGGCCTACGCGGTCTTCTACCTGCCCCCAGAGGGACAGCCCCGGCCTTCAGAGGGAGCTCTGAGCTGTGGCATGCTCTTCTCCACCCTGGAGAATGTCACCTCTACCACATATGCAGGTAAACAGCTTGGATACTTTTAGTGATGTCCTTACAGAGCGCTAACAAACAAAACAGGCCAGTTCCATTTTCTGAATCTATACCATGAAAAGCAATGCGTCACTAGCTACCAGCAGTTCCTGTTTGCATTGTTAATACTTGTTGAACAAATTGGAAAGGTAATGTTAATGTGGTATCAACATTTCTAAACAGATGTATTAGTATCTGTAGAGAGACTCAGCCGTGCTATGTGTACTAACTGAAGACTACTAAAAGAAGATTGTATGAATAGGGTTTACATACATGTGGCTGCTAATAGATGTGTTTTGAATCCTAGATAGAGAAAATGTTGGAGCATTAAACCCCCTCTCTGTCCTCAGCTAAGAAGCGCCGGGTGTTGCAGGAGGAGACGAGCCCCGGCAGCTGGTTCCGGTATCTGCCCCCCTCCATCACTGAGTTCCAGCCTGCCCTGCGCACCCTGGCTCAGCCAATCCAGAGAGAGCAGCTGCGGGACACGCTGCAGCAGTGGATCGACACGTAAGTTCCAACCAATCAGCACAGTGTTCATATGTTTCTGTTTGTTCTGTTTACCTACCTTAAAGGTGTGTTCTAAGTTTGAGATACATGTCTTGTTACTAGAGTGTGCACCCTCAGAGACGGATTGAATGAATTGCAAGATGTAAAAGAGACAGTTTAAGTACAAGCATTTTTAATAAACGCATGAATAAATAATGTCATATGACTTGACAGTTTGTTGAAAGAATGAAAATGGATGGTATGTATTTCATGATAAAAAAGAGAATTCACACATTTTCTTTTTTTCTCGCAGCCTTTACTAGTTGGTGCTGCAATTTGCCCTTAACCAATCAGCTTCTTTAGATTTCTTGTTCTCAATGCACAACAAATACAGCAAAGCTGTCACATTACTCTCTTATGTGACATTCTCCCTTTGAAATGGCTCCTTTTGATATGTATACAAATATTGATAAAGCAAAAATAATTTAAGAAATGAAATATTGCTGCAGTATTGAAGAACAGGCTGTAGGATGTAGCCGTATCATCCACCTGCAGCATCACTGGGGCTCTCTCTGATGACAGGGGGTGTTCCTCAATCTCGAGTAAAGCTGCTCCAGAGCCACTATTTCAAGCATACTACGTCATCGAGTGCCGCCGAAGGACTGTTCCAATGTCCAGCATACTTGGAATTCTACCGAGCCCGGCGTACTTCGTTTGGAGAAATTTCGAGGCTGCACATGTGTAGACTCCGCGGTCTTAAAATCCCCACAATGCTTTGCGCACGGACCAATTTCCCCAAATCTGTGGCGGAAAATGTAAGGCGTGGCCTCTCATGTGACACACACCTGCACACTTGCTCGCCTGTTCCACTCTTTGTTTTCCGAATGCCAGGAAGTATTCTTGCCTCGCTTCTGAAGCAAGTGACTCGGAAGACATGTCCTACCAAGCAAGCATCCTCGACATTGAGAAACACCCCCTGTCTGTATGCTCTGCTGGGTGTAGATGGATGGCAGGTTACCATGGTGATTTGCTGAGCAGTTTTCTCCTTCCTCTGTAGAGCCTTATGGTCGAGGACTGTACCGTAAAACATGCAGCATAAACATGAAAAGAAGATGAAAGAGGGTATTGCGCTTAAATGAAATAACCACCCTTTGAAAAGGATAAAAGGAGTAATGGCACAAAGTTAGGGAGGAGCTCCAGGAATGGCAGCTGTCATCATCGTGTACAAGATAAATGTAAAATATATTTATTTGACTGATTAAAACAAATGTTTCAGGGTGTATAACATTTTTGGATTTGTAAAACTCCTTTTTAATTAATCATCAAAACTATTATTTGTTGTGGAAATATTTTCCAAGGCCCATAACTTTGACCCAGTTTATCAGTTCAAACTGTCCTGACTGAGCACATGCACCTCGTAACCTTGGCTGCTGTGCTCTCAGTGTTCTGTCTCCCTGTTCCTGCCTGTTGACGTCAGCTGATAGAGGTGTTATGATTCTATGTTCCTGCCTGTTGACGTCAGCTGATAGAGGTGTTATGATTCTATGTTCCTGCCTGTTGGCGTCAGCTGATAGAGGTGTTATGATTTTATGTTCCTGCCTGTTGACGTCAGCTGATAGAGGTGTTATGATTCTATGTTCCTGCCTGTTGGCGTCAGCTGATAGAGGTGTTATGGTTCTATGTTCCTGCCTGTTGACGTCAGCTGATAGAGGTGTTATGGTTCTATGTTCCTGCCTATTGGCGTCAGCTGATAGAGGTGTTATGATTCTATGTTCCTGCCTGTTGGCGTCAGCTGATAGAGGTGTTATGATTCTATGTTCCTGCCTGTTGGATCAGCTGATAGAGGTGTTATGATTCTATGTTCCTGCCTGTTGACATCAGCTGATAGAGGTGTTATGATTCTATGTTCCTGCCTGTTGATGTCAGCTGATAGAGGTGTTATGATTCTATGTTCCTGCCTGTTGGCGTCAGCTGATAGAGGTGTTATGATTCTATGTTCCTGCCTGTTGGCGTCAGCTGATAGAGGTGTTATGATTCTATGTTCCTGCCTGTTGGCGTCAGCTGATAGAGGTGTTATGATTCTATGTTCCTGCCTGTTGATGTCAGCTGATAGAGGTGTTATGATTCTATGTTCCTGCCTGTTGACGTCAGCTGATAGAGGTGTTATGATTCTATGTTCCTGCCTGTTGGCGTCAGCTGATAGAGGTGTTATGGTTCTATGTTCCTGCCTGTTGACGTCAGCTGATAGAGGTGTTATGGTTCTATGTTCCTGCCTATTGGCGTCAGCTGATAGAGGTGTTATGATTCTATGTTCCTGCCTGTTGGATCAGCTGATAGAGGTGTTATGATTCTATGTTCCTGCCTGTTGGCGTCAGCTGATAGAGGTGTTATGATTCTATGTTCCTGCCTGTTGACATCAGCTGATAGAGGTGTTATGATTCTATGTTCCTGCCTGTTGATGTCAGCTGATAGAGGTGTTATGATTCTATGTTCCTGCCTGTTGGCGTCAGCTGATAGAGGTGTTATGATTCTATGTTCCTGCCTGTTGGCGTCAGCTGATAGAGGTGTTATGATTCTATGTTCCTGCCTGTTGACGTCAGCTGATAGAGGTGTTATGATTCTATGTTCCTGCCTGTTGATGTCAGCTGATAGAGGTGTTATGATTGCTATTTCCTGCCTGTTGGCGTCAGCTGATAGAGGTGTTATGATTCTATGTTCCTGCCTGTTGGCGTCAGCTGATAGAGGTGTTATGATTCTATGTTCCTGCCTGTTGACATCAGCTGATAGAGGTGTTATGATTCTATGTTCCTGCCTGTTGACGTCAGCTGATAGAGGTGTTATGATTCTATTTCCTGCCTGTTGACGTCAGCTGATAGAGGTGTTATGATTCTATGTTCCTGCCCTGTTGACGTCCAGCTGATAGAGGTGTTATGATTCTATGTTCCTGCCTGTTGGCGTCAGGCTGATAGAGGTGTTATGATTCTATGTTCCTGCCTGTTGACGTCAAGCTGATAGAGGTGTTATGATTCTATGTTCCTGCCTGTTGACGTCAGCTGATAGAGGTGTTATGATTCTATGTTCCTGCCTGTTGGCGTCATAGAGGTGTTATGATTCTATGTTCCTGCCTGTTGGCGTCAGCTGATAGAGGTTGTTATGATTCTATGTTCCTGCCTGTTGGCATGTCAGGCTGATAGAGGTGTTATGGATTCTATGTTCCTGCCTGTTGAATCAGCTGATAGAGGTGTTATGATTCTATGTTCCTGCCTGTTGAGCTCAGCTGATAGAGGTGGTTATGGTTCTATGTTCCTGCCTGTTGGCGTCAGCTGATAGAGGTGTTATGATTCTATGTTCCTGCCTGTTGGCGTCAGCTGATAGAGGTGTTATGGATTCTATGTTCCTGCCTGTTGACGTCAGCTGATAGAGGTGTTATGGTTCTATGTTCCTGCCTGTTGGCGTCAGCTGATAGAGGTGTTATGATTCTATGTTCCTGCCTGTTGATGTCAGCTGATAGAGGTGTTATGATTCTATGTTCCTGCCTGTTGGATCAGCTGATAGAGGTGTTATGATTCTATGTTCCTGCCTGTTGGACATCAGCTGATAGAGGTGTTATGATTCTATGTTCCTGCCTGTTGGCGTCAGCTGATAGAGGTGTTATGATTCTATGTTCCTGCCTGTTGGCGTCAGCTGATAGAGGGGTTATGATTCTATGTTCCTGCCTGTTGGATCAGCTGATAGAGGTGTTATGATTCTATGTTCCTGCCTGTTGACATCAGCTGATAGAGGTGTTATGATTCTATGTTCCTGCCTGTTTGGATCAGCTGATAGAGGTGTTATGGTTCTATGTTCCTGCCTGTTGACGTCAGCTGATAGAGGTGTTATGATTCTATGTTCCTGCCTGTTGATGTCAGCTGATAGAGGTGTTATGATTCTATGTTCCTGCCTGTTGGCGTCAGCTGATAGAGGTGTTATGATTCTATGTTCCTGCCTGTTGATGTCAGCTGATAGAGGTGTTATGATTCTATGTTCCTGCCTGTTGGCGTCAGCTGATAGAGGTGTTATGATTCTATGTTCCTGCCTGTTGACATCAGCTGATAGAGGTGTTATGATTCTATGTTCCTGCCTGTTGACGTCAGCTGATAGAGGTGTTATGATTCTATGTTCCTGCCTGTTGGCGTCAGCTGATAGAGGTGTTATGATTCTATGTTCCTGCCTGTTGGATCAGCTGATAGAGGTGTTATGATTCTATGTTCCTGCCTGTTGACATCAGCTGATAGAGGTGTTATGATTCTATGTTCCTGCCTGTTGGATCAGCTGATAGAGGTGTTATGATTCTATGTTCCTGCCTGTTGGCGTCAGCTGATAGAGGTGTTATGATTCTATGTTCCTGCCTGTTGACATCAGCTGATAGAGGTGTTATGGTTCTATGTTCCTGCCTGTTGGCGTCAGCTGATAGAGGTGTTATGGTTCTATGTTCCTGCCTGTTGACGTCAGCTGATAGAGGTGTTATGATTCTATGTTCCTGCCTGTTGGCGTCAGCTGATAGAGGTGTTATGATTCTATGTTCCTGCCTGTTGGCGTCAGCTGATAGAGGTGTTATGATTCTATGTTCCTGCCTGTTGATGTCAGCTGATAGAGGTGTTATGATTCTATGTTCCTGCCTGTTGATGTCAGCTGATAGAGGTGTTATGATTCTATGTTCCTGCCTGTTGACGTCAGCTGATAGAGGTGTTATGATTCTATGTTCCTTCCTGATGATGTCAGCTGATAGAGGTGTTATGATTCTATGTTCCTGCCTGTTGATGTCAGCTGATAGAGGTGTTATGATTCTATGTTCCTGCCTGTTGGCGTCAGCTGATAGAGGTGTTATGATTCTATGTTCCTGCCTGTTGGATCAGCTGATAGAGGTGTTATGATTCTATGTTCCTGCCTGTTGACATCAGCTGATAGAGGTGTTATGATTCTATGTTCCTGCCTGTTGACATCAGCTGATAGAGGTGTTATGATTCTATGTTCCTGCCTGTTGACATCAGCTGATAGAGGTGTTATGATTCTATGTTCCTGCCTGTTGACGTCAGCTGATAGAGGTGTTATGATTCTATGTTCCTGCCTGTTGGCGTCAGCTGATAGAGGTGTTATGATTCTATGTTCCTGCCTGTTGACGTCAGCTGATAGAGGTGTATGATTCTATGTTCCTGCCTGTTGGCGTCAGCTGATAGAGGTGTTATGATTCTATGTTCCTGCCTGTTGACGTCAGCTGATAGAGGTGTTATGATTCTATGTTCCTGCCTGTTGACGTTCAGCTGATAGAGGTGTTATGATTCTATGTTCCTGCCTGTTGACGTCAGCTGATAGAGGTGTTATGATTCTATGTTCTGCCTGTTGACGTCAGCTGATAGAGGTGTTATGATTCTATGTTCCTGCCTGTTGGCGTCAGCTGATAGAGGTGTTATGATTCTATGTTCCTGCCTGTTGACGTCAGCTGATAGAGGTGTTATGATTCTATGTTCCTGCCTGTTGACGTCAGCTGATAGAGGTGTTATAATTCTATGTTCCTGCCTGTTGGCGTCAGCTGATAGAGGTGTTATGATTCTATGTTCCTGCCTGTTGACGTCAGCTGATAGAGGTGTTATGATTCTATGTTCCTGCCTGTTGACGTCAGCTGATAGAGGTGTTATGATTCTATGTTCCTGCCTGTTGGCGTCAGCTTGATAGAGGTGTTATGATTCTATGTTCCTGCCTGTTGACGTCAGCTGATAGAGGTGTTATGATTCTATGTTCCTGCCTGTTGGCGTCAGCTGATAGAGGTGTTATGATTCTATGTTCCTGCCTGTTGGCGTCAGCTGATAGAGGTGTTATGATTCTATGTTCCTGCCTGTTGACGTCAGCTGATAGAGTGTTATGGTTCTATGTCCTGCCTGTTGGCGTCAGCTGATAGAGGTGTTATGATTCTATGTTCCTGCCTGTTGGCGTCAGCTGATAGAGGTGTTATGATTCTATGTTCCTGCCTGTTGGCGTCAGCTGATAGAGGTGTTATGATTCTATGTTCCTGCCTGTTGGCGTCAGCTGATAGAGGTGTTATGATTCTATGTTCCTGCCTGTTGGCGTCAGCTGATAGAGGTGTTATGATTCTATGTTCCTGCCTGTTGGCGTCAGCTGATAGAGGTGTTATGATTCTATGTTCCTGCCTGTCGACGTCAGCTGATAGAGGTGTTATTATTCTATCTTGTTATGCAGCGTGTTGATGATGCTCTCAGAACTAGTTAAATACATGGGTCTGAGGTAGAGTTCTTTAGAATTGACGTGGCAACCCACCCGTGCAGTCTCACCGAGACTGCTGTGACTTGTGATGTGAATTATCCGGCCGAAACTCCAAATAAACCATCAGTGTTTGACATCGAAGCTCCTGCTCTACCGTGTCTCCTTCCTGAGTCGGTGACTCCGACTGCATTGCTACACAGAAGTTTCCCTTACATTATTAATAGTTTTTTTTTCTATTGATATCTAATCTGGGGCTGTCCAATGGCTCCTCTGCTCTCAGCTGTAAGGAGGACATCTGTCGTGGGGTGGGCAGCCTGCTGGTGTACGTGAAGAGTCTGAAGGGGCTGGCAGCCATCAGAGACGCCGTGTGGGACCTGCTGTCCTCAGACTCCATCAGCCAGACCTGGAGCGGTGTGTGCCAGCGGCTGCTGGAGCGCCCCCTGCCTGTGTGGGACGACTTCCTGCAGAAACTCTTCCTCCAGCGCCTGCAGGTTGGTGCTCTCCTGGCTTCACACAGGTTTCCACATCTAATGTCTTTACCTAACCTCATTGAAAAACGTCATGTGGTTAATGAAGGATGTGAAGAAGAATTCATCAAAACTTGGGTAAAGACCACTGGGGAGCTCAGAGAATCAGTTTTTTAATCCTTGATATGTTCTTCAGGTGGTAGTATGCAGACCTAATAACTGTTGTAATGTGACTGTTAAAATGCAGGTCTGAGTCCATCACTACACCCAGATGTCTAGCTTTGTGAGTTACTTTGTAGTCTGCCGACTGAAGCTCTGCGATTACTTTTAATCGGTCCTTCTTTGCTCCAAAAACAATGATCTCAGTTTTTTGTTTGTTCAGTTGGAGAAAGTTCTGAGTCATCCAGTCAGTGATGTGCTCAATGCACTTGCTCAGTGTTCTAATCTGAGAATAGTCTCCCGGTGTAATTTTAAAATAAATCTGGGTGTCATCTGCATAGATGTGATAACTTAGATCGCTGTTTTTAAAAATTTGAGCCAGTGGTAGCATATAGATATTAAAAAGCAGAGGTCCTAAGATGGAGCCTTGAGGAACCCTGCATGTCATATTTGTCAACGCTGATGTGTATTTACCTATAGAAACAAAGTTGTTTCTGTCCTTTAAGTAGGATTAAAACCAATTTAGAACTGTTTCCGAAAGTCCCACCCAGTTTTCCAGTTGGTCTAGCAATATGTTGTGGTCAACAGTGTCAAACGCAGCACTGAGATCTAATAATACTAACACTGAAGTTCTGCCACTGTCTGTGTTTAAGTGGATGTCATTTAAGACCTTAACAAGAGAAGTCTCAGTGCTGTGGTTTGGACGAAAGCCTGACTGGAACATATCAAAACCGTCAGTTAAAAACATGAAATGACTCAACTGTTGAAAAACAACTTTTTCAATCATTTTGCCTAAAAATGGGAGGTTTGATATTGGCCTGTAATTATTCATCACGGATGCGTCTAGATTATGCTTTTTTAAGAGTGGTTTAGTTACTGCAGTTTTCAGGGCCTGTGGAAATACACCTGAGTGGAGAGACTTGTTTACTATATGAAGTAGCTGAGGCCATGCAATGAAAAACAGTTTTGAAAAATCCTGTCGGTATAATATCGAGGCTGCAGCAGGAAGATTTCAGATGTTGAATAATGTCTTCCAGATCTTTAGCATTTATCAGACGGAATTGTGTCATGACGTCTGAATTGACTTTAGGTGGACACAGGGACAAAACATTTGCTGTACCTGATACACTGACTGCTTGTCTAATTTTCATGATTTTGTCAGTGAAGAAGAAGGCAAAGTCATTGCACTATAGGACTCTGTTGCCCCTTTCCCACCAAAGCACTTCCAGGGCCAGTTCGGAGCTAGTGCCTGATTAAGCACCGGTTCTTCCTCTTTCCACTGCGGGGGGAACGTAACAAAACATTAAAGTGAAAAATGTATGGCCACTCCGCCCGCTGTACAAATTCAGGTGACAGGTCGCCACTATCCTCCAAAGATGGACGGGTTGGACGACACATTCCCTATCCTAATGTTCCAATGATTCCCTCAGGCCATCACCAAAGAAGAGAGTGAGGCCATCTCTGCGGGCTCCGTGCAGCTGCTCTGCTCCGCCGTCAGGGACCTGGAGGCTCAGACTCTCCACACGTCTTCAGGAAGCAGCTCTAGCCGGGGGGGGCAGTACGAGGCGGACGTGGCGGCCTTCCTGTGGGCGGAGTCTGCGGGGGACCTGCTGAGCGACGCGGGCTGGGTCAGTGTGGGCCAGCGAGGGCAGCAGCACCAGAGGAGCAACCTGGCCATGAAGACCCAGGCCCTCACACCCTGCGTCCAGAACTTCTGCTCCTCCCTGGACGCTCAGCTGAAGGCCCGGCTGGAGGACCTGCAGTACTACCTGCCCTCCAAACACACAGGTAGGAGGCTCTGTCACTCACACATTCACTCAGCCCTACTTACCGTAGTTTGTTTAGTTTTGAGGTCCTCTTCAAACGGCTCTTCATGTTACTACAGTTTACCATGGAGCCTCAGTTTCGCCGCTGCGAGGCTCTGGTGCTCGCAGGCGCAGCTCAGGCACGTGCTCCACTAAACCCCCCCCCCCCCCCCCCCCGCTCATCGCGTCCAAATCGCGCACGTTCCGTGTTGTCCTGTAGCAGGCACCTTCGATGTCGGGGAACGATCTTCAATACTCCGAAAAGAATCCCACCAGATTCCTTTGCCCCTCCAACAGAGGGATGTCCTTGTCCTTTTCGTCATTTCAAGCGATAAAAACTCTCGATCTTCTCTCGAATTATTAATATTTTTGGATGCCCTCGGCTCGCGTTCAGGGCGTCCCGAGCTGAATAAGGGCGTCAAATGATGGCAAGACGGCCGCCTGGCGGAAACACTGACTTTAACCCTACTCCAGTACAAGTCTAGGGAGGACAGCAGAGAAGTACTCAGAACTACTCAGAACTTGTACTTGAGTAAAAGTAGAAGGACTCAGATCTTGTACTTAAAGGTCCCGTGTCATGCTTTTCCGGTTATCACCCGTCCCCTTGTGTGTTATGAAGGTCTTTCTGCATGTAAACGGTCTGCAGAGTCAAAAACCCTCAAAGTACACCCTGTAGCGAGTAAAACTCTAACACAGAAAATACCTGTCTATGCTGCCCCAGAACGCCTCGTTGGACATTTCACTTTTTCCATTGTTTTCTTCCTAGGTCGTAGTGACGTAAGGGGCTAAGTGACGTAATGGCTACCGAGGTCCATTTGGACCAATCTGGACTTCCTCACACACACACACTCACTCAGCCATATCTTTTCTCAGCCTGAACTCAGCCTGAGCACACACACAAACTCACAGCCAGGCTGCGGGTGTGTGTGTGTGCTCAGGCTGAGTTCAGGCTGAGTTTCGCGATGTCTCGCTGTCTCGCAGACCCCACGCAGCAACCAGGAAATCACACCAGTAATCCAGCTCACACTGTCCGCTCCTCGCAGCAGCGAGCCCCACAACGTCCCGCCAACACGGTACCCAGACCCCACGCAGCATTCTCATCTGTTTGTCATTACTGGTGTCATTTTCTGGTTGCTAACAAACGCCATTGTAACACATAATCATTGATGTTCCGCTGTAACGGTGGTGGACTCATCAGAACAGAGTGGGCGAGCTGACCAATCAGAGCACAGTGGGCTCACAGGGAGGGGCGGGGGCCGGAGCTCCAACAAGGTGTGTAGGACATAAGGCTGCACGATTTTGGGAAAAAATCTAATTGCGATTTTTCTGACAAATATTGCGTTTGCGATTCGAATTGCGATATTTGTTTTTAAGCGACCCAACGGAAGTTTATTGTAAAATGCGGCCATAACTCCGGCTAGGAAGGTCGTATCAACATACTCCCGTCTCTAGCACCCCCGCAGCCCGAGCTACGAGTGAAAAAACTAAACTTACATAAAACTTCCGTTGGGTTGCTTTAAAGTCAAGCTTCAGTTAAAGATTCACCCTGTAATAGAAGCATGTGATGGAGCATTACTAACCTGACCCAGATGGTTTGTTTCACCAAACCATCTAGGAAAGCTCCATTGGAAGCCATTTGGAAAGGGCAGGCACTTTCAGAAGCACTTGGCAGGTGATTGGATCAATCTGTCTATCACCTTCTATAATGGGCCACTTCTGATTGATTAACAATGGCTGGTACATGTGGAGCACAGCACTTCTGATTGGTGTGGATGACTGACACACAAGAAGAAAAAGTAAAAGAAATCGCAGGCTTTGCGATTTGATAATCGCATCATTTCAAATTTCGATTTAAAATCGATTAATCGTTCAGCCCTAGTAACACAGAGAGTGATTACACATACTATACAGAGATGCTGTATGAGAAACCAATGTGAGTTTGGAACATTGAACAATGTAAATCTATTCTAGTAGACCTCAACAATGGAATTATGATCAGTAGAAATGGCCATGACATGGTAAAAGTAGAAGTACCAGATTGTAGGAATACTCTGTTACAAGTAAAAGTCCTGTATTCAAAATGTGACTCAAGTGAAAGTAGAAAAGTATTATCATCAAAGTATAGTTAAAGTACCAAAAGTAAAAGTAGTCATTGTGCAGATTGGTCCATTTCATCAGGTCATGTTTGATCTGTCTGAGACATTTGTGTTCTGACCGAACACCAGCAGTGACAGTTCTATCAGCTATGCTTTGTATTTAGTGCTAATGAGTATAAAATGCTTAAGGTAGTAGTGATGGTAATGATACATGTGATTCCTGCTAACCACCTGCATGAGTCCTAAAAGGTCTTCTTGAGAAGGTCCTGTGAAAGTCTGTCAGATTCATGACATGTTCCTAAAGCGCAGAGGTGTTCGTACCTGGGTTCTTCAAATGATGAATCCCATTGTCCAGTGTGCTAGTTGTTGTTATAATAATAATAATAATAATAATAATAATAGGCAGGTAAACAGCAGTGGACTCCAAACGAATCATCCCTTCCCCAGCTCTGATGAGGATGTACTTCTACAGGAGGTCTATGCTGCTGAACAAGCTCTTTATTTAGCAGTGTCAGCATTGGATATAATATAACCTGAGACATGTATGGCATAGTATTTCTAGTGTGTCAGTGTATTCTTTGTTTATTTTAAAGATTCAAAAGCTTTATTGCCATATGGACGATAGCAAAATAATAAATCTCCGGCTCCTCTAACAATGCAACGTACTATACTTAAGACATACAAATACAATAGAAAAATAGTACATGAAGAAAATTAAATAAAATGGCAAAAGAATTGTGCGGAACATATTGCATTGTAAAATAATGAATACAATACCTTTTTTTAGAAATGATATCCAGTGATGGGAGAAGTACTCAGATGCTTTACTTAAGTAAAGTACAAATACTATTATAGCGGCCAAAATCATAAAAATATAAGAAAGAAATATAAATCAAAGCAAAGTGCCGCTGAGGCACCCGTCAGCGAATCTTACGCATGGGTAAAAATCAAGGTCCGAGCAAAAGTCGTTTCAGTGCAATTTATTATACAGATAAAGCATTTTCTATTCCTTCTTACCCGATGGTAAAAAACCATAAGCCTACCGGGTGCGCCGCTCACCTGTTTCCCATATTTATAATGAGCCGGTCTCCCCTCCCCCGGTGCCCAAAGGCTGCCTTTACAAAAACAGAGGCATAGTACAACTTATTTGATAAACTTAAATAAGAATTAAAAGGAAGATTTACTATAAACAAAAAAGAACAATAAAATAAATGGATAACTATTAAATAATATAAGCTCCTAGATATGGCTTCATCATACCGGCCCCTAATTGTGATGCAATAGCAAATCAATTACAACAAAACATTCTATGGAGCCAGGTAACACCTTTAAATATTTTAAACTACGCAAAATATCTAATTACATTTCTGTTTATCATACAAAATCTACTAATATGCATATATACATTCAACAAGTCATTTCAATTAGCCCCCACTTAGATCCCCCCCAAAGTTCATGCTGCATCAGTGTCTTTTGTGGTTTCACCACTCACTGTCCCTGAGGCAGGAGACAATAGTCAAAGGGTATCAGTGTAGTTTGAAATAGAGAGGTTTGTGTATGGAAAGATAGTGTGTGTGCAGGGGATAAGGGGTAGGGCATTAGCTAGCTCTTGGCTCAGTTGGCTTCCAGGAGTAGACAGAGCTTGCTAATGGGCCTTTGCAGGATGTTAGTCTTGGTCTGAACTAACACACTTCTGACCAGACCTTTGGGTCCAGGCAGGGTTTTAACCACACGGCCGAGGGGCCATGAGTTCCTTGGTGCCGTTTCATCGACGATGACCACAATATCGTTGGGTTGAAGATTCCTTCTAGTGTTGACCCACTTTTGCCTTTGCTGCATGAGTGGCAGATATTCTTTAGCCCGCCTCTGCCAGAAGAGGTCTGCAATGTATTGAACTTGTCTCCATCTCTTTCTGTTGTAGAGGTCATTTTGTTCTCCAACTCTAGCCTGCATGCATCTACAAAAAACACAAGCCTTTTATTATTTTCCTTGCAGAAGAGTTGGCAGAGAGTAACCAGAATGTCTGGCCTAGTCTGGAGAGCATGTGGTTCCACCCAGAGTGTCCGACCTGCTGATGAATATCACGTAGAATCAGTTTGGATATGTGGGAGTTTTTTGGAAGGATTATCGGGTTTCTCAAATGTACTGGCATAGCAGATTTACTTATGCGTCCTCCAATCCGTAGGATACCTTCATCTAGAATAGGATCAACTTTGCGTAAGGGGCTGTCAGCTTTAACATCTTTTCCTTTCCTTAGCAGCCTCAGCTCAGATTCAAAGTAGCGCTCTTGTTCATAGTGAATGATTGATTTCACTGCTTCCTCCAAATCCTCCACAGATAGTCCTTGTTGTCTTTCTGCAGTTTTGGAGCGGGTCGCTGGTGCTTTAGCTCTTTTGGATTGAAGCAGTCTTTTGAGTTTCAACAACCAACCAACTGCTCTCTGTAGTTTTTTCCAAGAGGAGTAGTGTTCAATGAGGTCGGTGGTTGCACAGTTATTTATTTTCATGCTGTTAACAGAGATGTCCTTTTTGATCTCTGGATCATTAAGGAGGATGTGGCCAAGATCCTTTGGCACTTCGGGCCATTCACTTTCCTCCTTTGAAAGGAAGTCAGGGCCATTCAACCATCTTGTGGACTCCAAGAATGGTTCAATATTCAATCCACGTGATGCAAAGTCTGCTGGATTGTCCTTGGAACTTACATACCTCCATTGGCTTTCTTGGGACAAGTTGTGAATCACAGCTATCCTATTAGCAACGTAGGTATGGAATCTTTTTGTTTGGTTGTGGATGTATTTTAGTACTGATGTACTATCTGTCCAGAAGGTTGATTTCTGTAGTTTCATGTTTAGTTCCTTCTGTAACATCCTGTCAACTTTTACAGCAAG